GGGGGGGGAACGGCCAGTGAATCCAGGCAACTTGGAGGTCAATGACACGGAGGTTGCGGTTAGACAAGAAGAACCGGTTGGCTGGAGACAGGCTACTGACATCAATGACATGTATTACAGGGGACAGGCTACTGATGTCAATGACATGACGAAGAACTGGGGTGACTTGGTGGAGTTCTCTTGAGGGAAGAGATGAGAGGCTTCCATGCGTTGTTGAGACAGAACCCTGTTTCTTTGTTCATGTTATTCGGATGGAGCTCGATCTCAATGGCCTCCATGATTATGTGATCCAGGTAACGGCTCTTACAGGTGATTATACAGCTGCAATGGATATCCTACTAGGACTCCCCCCACTGCATCTGTAGATGGAAGCAGAGGCCAAGCCACAAAATGACAGCTTATGCTGCAATGTTCAATGGAGACCTAAATCTGAAGGTTTTGGACATGCATACATGATTCAGGACATCAAAAAAGAACCCATCCTACAGATGGGGTCTGATAAAATGATACCAAAACAGGCCTATAATAAAGCCTTCATGATCAGATTTCCTGATAGAAGTGAATGGAAAGAGAGAAAGGGGGAACTAATCTGGTATACAGATGATTCCAAGACAATAAAGGCACTGGAGCTGGGGTGTATTGTGATGGAACAGGGCGCAAACATAGTTTCGGCCTTGGTCAGTATACAACAGTATTCCAGGCAGAAGTGTATGCCATTAAGGCATGCGCAGTTGAGAATTTAGATAGAAACTATAAAAATAGGTACATCTATATTCTATCAGACAGTCAAGCTGCAATTAGAGCACTTGGTACACACCAAATCACTTCAGAATTGGTCTGAGACTGCCACCAATCCCTCGCACAACTGGCCAAACATAAAAGAGTTCAACTGACATGGGTGCCAGGTCATGAGGATATTGCTGGGAATGAAACTGCAGATCAGCTGGAAAGAACACGATCTGAACATTCATTCATAGGACCTGAACCAGACTGTGGCATCTCAATTGGAGTTACCAAGAAAGCGATCAGGGACTGGACAGATAGAAATCACACTGGGAATCCACAATTGGACTCAAACAGGGAACAGGACCCTCTGCCAGAAGAGCGAAGGACTTGCTGAAATTAAACAGAGATCAATTAAGATGGGTGGTAGGATTACTTACTGGACGATGCCTACAAGAAGATGAATCAGCCATATATATCCTATGTGACTGTGAGGTCATATCTTATTTAAGATTTTGTCGCCTGAGTCAGTTCTTCAAGGAACCAAGTGACTATTATGACGCCCCCATAAATAAAGTCCTACATTTCATTCAAAGTGTAGGATTAATAAAGGGTGAATCCAAAGGGGAAGAACAATAGATCATTGAAGGTCACAGTGCAAGGGCCAGATTTTATGGCCCACCCCTTACACACATACAAGACCACTGAAGTAAAGAATTTAAACCTATTTCAGGGAAATGTCCTACACAAGATATGCACATTTAATATGAAGCAATAAATTCCTATAGATTCACTACTACAAAAGCTGTCAGCAATATATGAACATCTTGGTTAACACAAATAAAATTTCAAGAATGCACATGGAAAATAAAGAGTATGTGTACTTATAAGAAAAGTAAACCTTTCTATTCCTGTTTTGTTTTCTTTCTTTGGCACTGTGCTTAATCTGCATTAAATAAGAAATATCCAAATATAACGAAGAAGTGGTCAATAACTTCAGCATCAGATGAAAACTGAACATGAAAACAGACAGTAACCTAGTCACATAGCCACATGAATATCAGGCACTAACTTTAATTTCAGTACCAGAAATTCAAACTGTATTGAAGGACTACTTACATATTTGCAAAAATTAATTTCCCTTATTTTGAAGAATTCACAGTCATTATAACTGGTCTCTTATCTTGAATAAAACCAATCCATCAGCTTCTTGGTGATCTATTTTTATTATCCTCCCAGCTAACACCTTAGTCTCTTAAAAGGACTCCTACCACATTCTTTCAAAATAAGTTCTTTTTTTCAGGGCACTTCTTTAGTCCTCCAAACAACCTAAGTGTATCACCCAGTCTTCTTTCTCTTAGGTGTCTTAAATACAAGCCTGTGACACTTTTAAGTTTCCCCATAAAATAATGTGTGAAACCTAGCATTATGAGTTGCCAAGGCTCAGAATTTTCATTGTTATACACAGTGAAAACTATGACCATAAATATGTACCACAGGAAATCAATTTCTATTTGTTAAATTGAATCATACAATAAATAAATAGATAACAGGATGGGAAATGAAAAAATTGTTTTTATATATTTGAAAACTTCATAAACTCAGCATCATTTTATGAAAATAACATTGTATTAAGTTTCAAATACAATAAATTCTACAGCATATATAATCACAAAATCAAGGTTATGTTTCATACCTTTTACCTTTTTATAACATAAAACTTCCACCTTCTTTGGAAACAGTGTGCTCTGTAAATCACCAAGTCCTAAACAGCCAGCAGCATTTGAACCAATAGCAAACACTTCATCACTTTCGGTCACCATAATTGCTTCATTACCTAGATTGCCTACAAACAAAAAATTATTGTGAACTAATTTAATTCCTGTTTTATTGTGTGTGTGCGTGCATGTGCATGTGTTTGAAAATCTCCAAATCTTTATTCTTCTAATCACAGTATTGTAATTGGTCCATAGAATCCATCTCATTATCAAAAAATTTAAAAATCATATTCACTATATCTTTGCATCAAAAGCTCTATGTATGTCACTATATCCTAATACAATACTTCTCAGAAGAAGGCCTCTTATTTGAAATCTTCATGCAAATAATAACACAATGTCATAATTCTAACAAGAATAACTTTATGCAACTCCAGCAGTGAAAGTGAAGAAAGGAGCAAGTTTAAGGCAACTATTCAAGAGTAAAGTTGTCATATATGTAGAACGGTGCCTTATTTCATTGCCTCGTCTCCCTGTCCTGGTGAGATACCTGCTGACACATAACTGTTGTGACTGAAAGCTACCAGGCAAAGTCCTTACCATAAATACCTCTTCATAGCCAGAGATATCTGTTTGTTAAACAACTATTTTACAAGTATTAGACAACATTTTTCATAAATGACTGAAAAATCATGAAAATATCATAATGGAGAAATACTGATCACTGTATTAACAGTCTTACATGTCCACAAAACAGTAACATTTAACTATCACAGTGGTATTGATTCACAACAAACTAAGTATATGCACCGTCAAATAGGAAGAACATGAACCCACTTCCATGGGTTCAGATTTAAAACTTATTTATTACTACTATTTAATGACACATCAGCTACTTAATTTCTGGACAAAGTAATTTGCTCTCCACCAACAAACTTAATTCATATGATTAACCAGTTAAAAATGGCCATCTTGTAGTGCACTCAATTTCATATGTCACTTCTTACTACATGTTTCAGCAACATAGTGCCATCTTCAGGTTTGTTATTCACGCTTAGCTATTACATTGTTCGCCATCATGTGTCTTTCATAAAATTATTTACAAGTATATTATTCGTCAACTATAATAAAATTTGTATATATTACAACTTGTTAAGATTATTCATCTATGTGTCATAATTCAAACTCGCGTATAGTATGGTTCGTCCACTATGGGAGTCGTTTCTGTGTGTACTGTGTCTGTGATGTGTCCTTCCTTTTTGGCTCGCAGCCAAAAAGGGAACACACATCACGAGACACGATATACACAGAGTATAAGAGGAACAACTCCCATAGTGGAGGAACTATGCGAGGGTTTGAATTGGGACAAATAAGATGAATATCTTAACAAGATTTTAGTGTATAAAAATTTATTATAGTTTACGAATATTTTTAAATACTTTTTCAATAATTTTACAATGACATAATGGCAAGCAATGCAATAGATTAACGTAAATGGAGCACCTGATGATGGCACTATGTTGCCGAAACATGTTGTGAAATAACAGGTGAAAGTGAATGCACTACAAGACGGACACTGCATACATATCATGGACGAAAATCAGTGCAACAGGACGCTAAAATACAACATTACAGTTAAAAAATATTAATATGTTGACAGCCCTTAAAAAATGCCTTAGAGACTGGGTTGCTGGTATGTTTCATGAATGTCTACTGTTTTTTAAAAAATCCTTTTTCTGTTGTGCTGGTTAAAATAAACAAAAAACTGGAAGATGTATGGGAGCCAACATGACCCATTTGAAGGTACCATCGCACAACTTCCTGGTAGAAATACGGACACCAATGAAACACTTGCCATAACAGGACATCTATGAACATCTATGAGTACTTCGGTTTCCCCTGCCAATGTTCATTCCATCAAATTCTCCACAAATAAGAATGTAAAAAATTGTAACTATTGTAATTTTAATCTACTTATATATCAAATTGTTAATATTCAGAATTAACTTGACTTGTCATATATCATGTACAATGATCTACAGTGACGAAATAAATCAATCAATCAATCAAACCACTTGCTTCTTCATATTCTACTTAAAACACAATTTTAAGCCTCCTCTACTGAAAGCAAGCCAAGCAGTGCTTACGGTAACTTTAAATATTATGTGACCTACTGTCATATTTTGTCTATATCATAACACCTACAGATGCAATATAATACATCAAATTCATTTTCATGTAATTACAAGCTGAGAATCATGGACATAGGACACTGAATAGATTCTGCCATCCAGAACGTAACCAGAAATGTGTCTTCTCAGAATTAAAACATGGAATGATGAGTTACCTGCCAGTAACAGAGTATATTCAGATTTCCTCATCCAAGATCCTTTAGATCTTTTAAGGAAAAATATAATCGAATACATACCATAAACACAAGCCATCTTTATTTTGTAAACAAAATCTGGTTCTAGTAAGCTAAATATTGGCCACTTCATCAAATCCATTTTACATAAGTGTGTTTACATGTGCAGCTGAAATTCAAAAGTAACTGTTACTACATATATAAAATTCAGAACAGATGCAGCCATTGTTATTCAATGGCACAGTAAACACGTTTCTGTGGCAAGGAATAAACACGCAACAATGGAGGAACTGGTGGAAGCGGTGCCTTCTACCTGGTCCAAGCTGAGGTCATATAATGAGAGCCAACTGGACAAATATGTGGATGTTTATAGTGCAAAATTAAGAATAAGGCAGGTTCAAATACCTCCACCTTGACCCTGTGAGTGGTAGGAGGCAACGAAAAGGGAAGTCTCAAATCTGAGACAGTAAAATATGGTCATGAGTACTAAGGGACTTGGACCCAAGAAACACTGCGCTGGCAAGGGATAGCAATTATATACAAAAGACAGACCCGTCCTCTCATCAGAGATGGCGCCGTACAGAAACAAGACCATAACTGTCAAACAGTAATAAATATCTGCTCATGAGCTCCAGATGGGGCTCAACACCAAGACTTATTAACTGATCGTCAGTCGCAACATGACTTTGACTTCAATATAGTAACTCTGACTCAGACTCTGAGTCAAAAGTCAGAGTAAGCAGGTATCAGTCTGGTGTCCTGAAAACAAATGAGTCACAAGTCAGTCTGAGGTTGGAGTCAGCAGTTCACAGTCTTGAGTTGGATTGTTAGTAGCTGCTGCCTAGCAATGACTAGTGAACAAATTGAAAAACTTATGTATGCTGTAGTTGTAGTGATATGGAGTGTGTAAATCAGAGAGACTGTTATAGATATCTGTAATTAGAAGTTATGAGCATCCAATACATCCAATTATCAATCCAAACCCTATGTCTAGTCACTAACATGTGACAACATTAATTCAAATTCCATATCGATATATGACTTAATTTCTTGGTACTATAAAATGATTATAATTTATTCAGAAGTACTAAGAAAACTGTAACCACTACATTGCAGAAAATTTGGGAGACATCTGAGATGCATAAGATTCTGAAAGATAAAAAGGTATCCCTTTCACTCTGTAAAAGTCTTAATAAGGCAAATGGAAATGGTTCTACCTGCACAGTCATTCTCCAAATATTTATAGATATTGATGTATATCCTGTACCACAGCTTCCCTGCATCTGTCTATTGAAGAAAACAATAGTCCAGTTTTGAGACTAAACAATGGTCAACCTCTAGCTGCATTGTTTACTAGTCCAGCCATTATCTCATATATAGTGTTTTCTTGAACTACTTGTCAGTAATATATTTTCCTGATTGCATTGTCTTAGCTTTGTGATTCTTTCAGTTTGAGGTGAAGAATACTGCACCCTCAAATACAGTATTTTTCTTTCATCGTCTGAAACTTCAACATTTGTATTAGTTCATCTTTATTGCACACACCTGTATAAAACTTTTGCAGATTGTTATACACACTTCTAAAGTTTGTTTCTCGCCATTTGCAATTCTCAAGTTAGCAACAAGATGACATCATAAACAACAGTTCAGTATGTGTTAGTTATCAAAACCTTTTACTCTTCTAGTGGTTGTGTTGCTGTGGAAAGACAATATTAAGAGCTTCCTGTTCATGTTCCACCACACAGATACCTGGGCCTCAGAGAATCCAAAGCTCACCATTTCCAACCAACTACATTCACTTTGTCTACAGGTAGAGGCCTTGCAATGAGCTGATCACTTGCCCAAGGAGTCCTATCGTATGTGTAATATCTAGAAAAACCGAAGTGAACGGAGTTCATGGAGGTAGTTCTAGGCCCACTGGGGCTGTAGTGCCAAGAAAAAAAAAGTTCTACCACTGCCATTGTCACCCCCAATACTATACCACCATTACTACTACTACTACTACTACTACTACTACTACCACCACCACCACCACCACCCATGGGTTTTTTTCTACAATTTTTGGAGGGGGAAATCAGGGAACATGAGTAGCCAACTATAAAAACTGAAGTCATCATATAAATTTAAAAGAACAAATTATAATACATATCAACCACACTTTCCATATACTTAATACAGGTACATGAAATAATGTATGATGACAGAAGTTCAAAAAAATACAAATTTCTATTACAGTAACTTCTTGAAGAAAGTAAAACAACTAGGTGTTGGTGGGAATATTGTTTGGCTTTTAGTTTGAGGGAAATAACTAAATGGACATTGTATGACTTTTGTAGGATGATGATGATATAAGCCACTTCTATAAATTATATATGAAATATTGAAGGGTATCCTGGGATATAATGCCAAGTAGTCCACAGAATGTCAACCAACATTCCAAAGGAACATTTCGCATGCCAAGCAAGAAAGTAGCATGAAGCAGGTGGCACACTGGGTGCTCCTACTCCAAATGACTCACAACCCCCTTTCTCCCTCTTTCTTCCTGCCTGCTTGTTGCTGGTTTCTTTCTTGGCCTACTCTTTATTCCCATACTTGGAGGTGACATGTTTCTCCAAAACATCAGTTAACCATCAACGGACTGCACAGTGTTATTTCCCAGAAGACAGAACTCTTCATAGCCATCACTGTCAGAAGCTCAAAACCTACAAACATGGTGATGGTATGAATGAGGTTATACAAAACAAATTTAACAAACACAATCTGTACCATATTAATTCGCTCTGCCAAAAGTTATAACAACATCATATAACATGACACAACTTCACTCAATAAAAAAACCACAATGGTATCATTCGATCCTATAATTATTCACACAAAAGCCATGCAAAGCAACCCTTCAACAAAAATTAGATACAACCTTAATAATTAACTTCTGGAGCTGAGTATGAAATGTGAAATTGAACTTCCAGTTCTGGCCTGAAGTCTTTGCTTATAACGATGTCTTTGGATGTTTAAGGTTCATATTGACATAACTGTACCGGCGCGCATGTGTACCCAATCGTATTTCCGTAACAGAAACATGTTACTCAGGGATAAAAAAAAGTGTTGGGGTAAGAGTGTCTGTTTTCTAATACGGGTAAAGCAAACTGACAACTGAAATACAGTCTTATAATTACATTTCTGAGCGCACAAAGAGGTTAGATCTTGTTCCCGCTGGAATTTTCCTACGAATATAACTAACAAACAAACTAGCGAACGTACAGTAATTACATTTGTTCCTCGCATCGTTCCTAAGCGTATCCCGGTGAAGTAATACAAATAATATAAGTTCTTCCTCCACCCCCTCACCTTCTGACAACCTAACATTCTAACGTGACACTGACAAATCTGCTAACAGACGTGGTAGCACAATTCTTCTGCACTCCGTTCAGTACAGCTTAGCAGATTTTGTACAGTCGCTGTCGGTGTTCTTATGTTGTAATTTTCTGTTCTGCATTGATTATATTCGCTACTAACCCGTATTCGGTAGGTTGAGATAATGTTCAGGGTGCAGTATCTATGTAGTAACTTTTTATGAAACATATTTCAAACATACAGCATGTACATACAGCCTCGCATAAGTCGCACTTTTCGTTCCCTGTACGTGCAATTTTATTTTACGTTTATGCGGTGTATATCCATACTTATATTCTCACGCCTAATTAAATGCCTTACTATCATAGTTTTACCAGAATAGTATACGTATGCGTGTACTGTATTATTATTATTATTATTATTATTACTTGTGGAAATGACTTTCTTTCCCAGGAAAAATGTAAAATTGCTACATATAGTAAGGCATATAAAGTAAATTTTGTTTGGCTGTTATAAAAAGAAATATAAATGTGTTACAGGACTAAATTCTTGATACGATCTACACAGATTAAAGAGAAATTTATTTTCGCGAAGGTCATTTATTTTCTTACGCTGCTTCATTAACAAAAGAAAGATTACCCGAAAAGAAAGTATTTGCATTTACACCAACCTACAAAATGAACTGATATGTGGCTTACTAATCATTAATTTTGTTTTAGCGCAGTTATAATAATGGTCACACAGTGATTAGTGATATATTATGTATGAAGTTGTACTTTGGTTACATAAATGTGTGGACTTATGTAGTAACAAATATAAGGTAACTAGTTAAGTTGGCTGCAATATGTATCATGTCAAAGTAGTGTCCCGTGTAAAGGGGTCGACAAAAAAAGATAAGTTATTACGTTTGTTTTCAACCTAATTTTGTAATCGCTGGAAAATTATTAAGAACGAATAGTCTACTGCAGGGGATGTCATATATAGTAACATAACTTTTGAGGAGGAAGTGTCTCGATTTGTGTAATTTTTTAATCTGTAAATTACAAAGCAGAGTTGGGCCATTGTTGTCACTGCAAGGTCACCCCTGTACAATCTAACCTTACCTGTCATACTAATGGAAATTATTTTTCTCTTCTGAGTTGCACAGAATCTGTTTGAAAAGTACTTTTAAGATGAGTGATAGTGAAAATGTAAAGCAGTTGAACTGTTTAATATGTAATGTTGAAGTTTCAGTCAATGCAAGCTATAGTATATTTTATACAGTCATTCCCCACAGTGGCACTTTACTTGCAAATTCTATTCAGAAAGTGATACGCAGAACTGTAGAGCAGTCCTCAATACCTAGTACTTTTATTTGTACAAAATGTTTTGCATTATTTGAAGAATTAGATTACTCAGAGGAAAAGTGCATTAAGTTAAAGAAAGATATCTTAACATGTTTTGCCAAAAGTTGTCATGAAAATGGATATGATTTGGAGGATGTTCAAGGTATAGGATGTCAAACTGAAGATCAACAAAACAATGAATCTGTAGACTGCATAAGTGCACTGAAAGTTGAGAAGTGTGAATTCACAGGAAATGAATCAGAAGGAAAAAATACTTCACAGTCATTGGTAAGTTAAATTCTCCACCAAACTGCCAATTCTATACGATTAAGTTACTTTATAATTTTCATTGTCAGTATTATAATGAAATATTTTATGTTGTAGAACAGTGAAGATGAGTCAAAATACAATGACACAAGTGCATCTGTAAATAAAGATGTCAGTAAATCTAGCAGTAATAGTAATAAAGATCGCAGTAAAAGAAAAGGTAATCCTCGGAAGAAGGCCCAAAATACAAAACCACCAGTAAATGTAGCAGAAAATAACAAAATTAGTACCTCTGCATCAGGAAAACAGTTTGAAATAAAGACCAAGGATGCAAGAAGAAGGCGGCGATATGTTCATCCTTGTAGACTCTGTGGTCGTCTCTTCCGCCGTCCCTGTGAAGTGAAACAGCATCTCTTATCACATGGTGGTGCAAAACCGTATCAATGCAGAGACTGTGGCAAGCGATTTGGATCAAAATCTGGTGCAGGAATTCATGCATTAAAACAACACGGAAAAGATGTCTCTGTTGAAAATATAATAGATGTGTGTCACATCCCTTTAGAAAGTGTGGCAGTATCATTGAACCAGGCTACTTTAAAAGAGGTGGCCTGTCATATAAAAGGAAGTAGTGATAAAACTGAAGGTGATCCTGGTGGTAGTCAGTCAGACAGCAGTAGTACAAGTGATGATGATTTTGAATGGAAGATGGATGAGGATATATTTGATATGGAAAATGAAGAGAAGGAGGTTAAAGAGGAGGAGGTAGACAATGAAGAAATGCATCCTTCTACAGAAACTGAAAAGGAAGACTCAAATGAAAATGTTAAAAAAGGGGAGACAAACCCTGAAAGTGATGGCATTGAACATGAAATTAAAGACCGTGTACCATGTGTAAAAGCAGAACCAAAAACTTCTCGTCCTAAACCAATAAAGAGAAAGACTGAAAGTATTGACAGGAAGAAAAGTAGCCGTGTAGGTGCTAAGGAGAAGAAACCAAAGAAGAGAGACCCTTTTCCAAAGCCACCGAAACATGAGTGTACAATCTGTGGAAAAATGTGGAGAACAATGAGTGAATTCAAGTCGCATGTGGCAACACACAGTGATGAAAGACCATTCATCTGTGAGATCTGTGGACAAGCATACAAGCACAAAGCTGCCCTGGATATCCATGTTGGCATGCATAATGGTATCAATCCCTTCAGTTGCCCTTTCTGCAATAAGGCATTTACTCAGAAAGGAGCACTACAGAGACATCTGCCGATTCATACTGGGGAGGCACCATTTCAGGTATGATTTACTGAACAGTACAAAATAAATTTTGATAAAATTAATTTCCAAGGGATAAAATCAGATCATAGCATTCATGGTTTTCCTCTTCTCCTCCATGTAAAATTAATGTGATAAGTTATGTGAGAACAAAATAAGATAAATTAATTTCCCCACAATATTAGAAAGGAGAATTATGTAAGGATGGCAGTAATGTGAGTCAACTTGTGTAAGTTCTCAAATATTTCTTTGGTAGTCATGGTATCAGTTTGTGTAGTAATACAGGTTTCCTAACAGTGGTATTCTACAGTGTGTCATTTTGCATGTTTACACAGCTTCAGTTGAGCAATAACCATTTAAACCCAGTACAAATCTATAATTATTACATTAAAGCAGTAAAAGTAATTTGCCTAGGTTGTAATAAATCCCAAAATTTCCATCTGTACACATGTATACACCCTCTGTAGCTTGAGATTTGATGAAATAAGTTACTTGTGAGTAAAATTGGTCTGGGATTGCCACCAAACTCTCATGGAACTGGCCAAACATAACAGGGTACAACTGATATGGGTGCCAGGGCATGAGGGTATTGCTGGAAACAAAATAGCAGACCAATTGGCCAAGATTGGAGCTGAACATCTGTTCATAGGACCTGAACCAGCCTGTGGCATCTCTATAGGAGGTGCCAGAAAGGCAGTCAGGGACTGGACAAATATGAATCACAAGAAATACTGTGGATCCTTAACTGCACTCAGGCAAGCAAAGGGACTCATGCGAGGACCCTCTACTAAAAGAGTGAAGGAACTGTTGAAGTGAAACCAGAACCAGCTACGATGGGTGGTAGGACTACTTACAGGACACGTCCTCAAACTGGGACTAAGTAACCGTCCAACTTGTGAGAGGTGTCAAGAAGAAAACAAAACAGCCGCACACATATCCTGTGTGAATGTGAGGCCTTAGCTTATTTAAGATTGCGCCACTTGGGTCAATAATTCATGGAACCAAGTGACTATTTAGACGTCCCCACGTACAAAATCCTATGCTTCATTCGAACCGCAGGATGGTTGAGGGGATAATCCGAAGGGGAGGCACAATAGAGCACTGTGGCCACAGTACAAGGGCCAAGAAGGCCCACCCCTTGTACATTCTTTCATTCATACTTGCGAGTAACTTATAGAATTTGGTCTTGTTTATTTGAAGTCTATCCCTGTATATGTAGCCGGGTAATTAGATTTGCTTGGTGTGCATGTGTTAAAACTGCCACAGGAAATGAAATTGGCTTAATGTTAATGATTTAGTACAGCATTTCAGTCAATACATGGCATCAAGTGAAAATAAATGTAAATGTAAATGTAAGTATGATATACTGATTTATAGGCATTTGTATGATGTCACACAACACACTGATTATGCTGTATATAATAGGCGATTGAATTGAATATATCAATAGATCAATCAGTTTATTATATTAAACACTACATGTGTCAGTCATGGTTGACCATCCTCAGGTGTGTACTTATATAATCATAAATATATTGCACTATATTACTGAATATGTAATCAAAATGGATCCATCATTAGCACAAGCAATGTACTTGCTGAACCCTTTGAGTGCCAAGCCCTGCTGTGGAACTGCCTACTAGGGGATAAATACAGTTACACAGAAATACGCACAATATTTCCTCAGATTTACTACAAACAACCATATATGTTCCAATTTTGTATTGTATTTTATATACACATGGTAGGTTATGTAGTTGCAGTGGTGTGTAGGGTTTCATATGCTTGATTTATTGTTGTGGATCTGTATGCATTGTTCTGCTGACTGCTTGCTGATTTAGCAAGTTTGTGGTCTGACAGGTTCCGTATCCAGTGGCTTTGGCCTTGAATGGATGTGCTGGAATGTGTAATAAATACAGTACAGTACAATATGTATTTTTTTTATTGCTAGTGGGGTGGAACTAAGTCCCTTGTACTGTGGCCACTTCTGGCCTATTGTACCAGCCCCAGATGATAATTGAGGGTGATTGTTGAGCAATTGGTGGAATGAAGATTGGCAGGGGAAACCGAAGTACTCGGAGAAAACCTGCCCCAGCGCCACTTTGTCCACCACAAATCCCACTTGACCAGACCCGGGATCGAACCCAGACTGCTGCGGTGGGAAGCTAGTGACTAACCGCTTGAGCTATAGCGTGACCTACAATATGTATAGATAATGTAGAAGCCTGCTGTTTCGTCTAAACTTCAGTATATTTTTTTTTTGTGTGTGTGTTCTGCATCCTGGTGTGTTAACAGGTTTAGGGGGTTTTATGCCGTCACACAACATATTGATTCTGCTATATATTATTTTCAGGTTGTATGTATTTATCTTTGTTTTCATGGCCCATTATGATGTACGTAACTGCAGGTGCTCTGATTCTGTCTGAAAAAATCTGAAATCCTAGGGTCAGCGAACAATGTTGGACAAACGGCCTCTTTACAATAACAAAATAAAATTGTTGTGGTATTTCTGAAAGGTATCTCTTGAAAGTTTAATGAGATGTTAAATCTGACTTCCTTCTAGTGTGAACTATGTGGCAAGCGTTTTGTTCATCACACAAGTTTCAACATGCATACATTGGCACATACTGGTCAGAAGAGTTACAAGTGTAAGGTGTGTGGGTTGGCACTTTTGTCAGGCTCACATCTTAAGCGCCATTCCCGTGTCCACACAGGAGAACGCCCTTATCAGTGCCAGACATGTGGAAAAAGATTTGCTGAACGTTACAACTTGGTTGCACACAATCGCATCCATGATCCATTGGGAGCCAATGCCAGGGAAGGTAGCTTTAAGAAAATTCACAGGTACTTGTGTTTACTTCTAAATTATATTAAACATCTGCATCTGTATTTTTAACATTATTTTAGTGAATGTTATTTAATTCCTGAAATGAATGATTTCACAGCTGCTTTGTTTTAACCTCATACTTTATCAAATTAAGTGTTGATATTTATATGACTCCCAGTTTGACTCAAATGGAGAAGCCCTTTTTGTCAAACCAATTGGCAGCAGATGTCCATAAAAACCACGCTGTCCAACACATTTCGTTCAAATCACAAAATCCAATCAAGATTTGCCGTATCTGACTTACAGTCTGATTGTGAACTTACAACACTTTCACTAATCTGTTCACTCAAATTAATACTGCAAGCACTAAGTTTTTACTATTCATTGCTTGGTTCTTCCACCATTGGTCACAAACCCAGCCTCTCATTCTCACCCACAGAATCTCACTGAACTAAGTCAGAGTTACTGTATGACTAGCGGTATACCACCAATCAGTTTGTCTTGGTGTCAAGCCGCATGAGAGACACAACCACAGATTTTTCAACTGAACACTTGTCATCACAGTCCTTGTGTAACACCCTGTTCAACAAGAGGATGAGTTTGTCTCTTATGAATATGTTTGGCCCTTCCTCAAATGTATGTTTTGCAGATATGGCATGTTATTGAAAATTCTTCCTTTTGTACTGCATACAAGTCCTCTGTCAATACAGGCTTTGCAAAGCAGATCATGCCTATTGTATTTATCTTATGCTACAACAGCAGATTAGTCACTTGAATGGTCATAAGCTTGACCATTGCCAAGCTTAGGTCGATTATATTTTACTGAACTAAGTCTTTACTTTGTCCCGCTTATAACTCCTCAACACAGACCAACCATAGAAAACACCATTTCCAACAGTTCCACAGTTGTTGCCTGTAGATTCGTTGCTGTGGAGATATTGTTCAAATTGTTTGTATGGGAATGTGTTTTGTTTGTGAAGCACATTACCCAGTAACGGCTCTGGTATATTTGCTTATCTCACTGTCATTGTCTACTAACAGCTCTACACGCTACAATACTAAGAATAAAGCTGTTATATTATTTGTAGTGTAGGTGCACAGTGACTTTTGGCTCACTTTGTATACACTGTGATGTAGCTCAGGGTGTTAGGCACCGGCTTCTCAGCACAGAGCCTCAAGATCAGTCCCTGGTGTCTTCATGTGAGGTTCATGATGGATAAAATGTCTCTGGAGCCAAGTTCTTTCTCTCTCTCTGAGTATCTTTTGTTTTCCCTACCTAATCATCATTTCAGCACTGCTCCATATTCATCTGTCATTNNNAGCTTTGACCATGCTGCTCTTGTTCATATCCTCAGTCATTAAATGTGGGACTTCATTTCTGACCTAGCACCTGGCTGGTTATGGTTTAAGTTCAGTTTTTAGTATATCAGAGGTCCAGTCCAAAAGTTTATAGAATGAAGATATAAGAAATCAGAGGTGTGATAAAGAGAAATTCAGTACATCCCATCAGAATAGTCTCCCAAATCTATGTTGTTTTGCTGGTAGATCTACCATGACGAAATGTTTCGATAAATTTTCTTTCACAGTCCATATGAGTGCCACATCATCAACAACAGCAAAACGCCCTTTCTTGGTCCATAGCCTTCAATAGATGGCAGATTTTGTCACAAAATTAAGTAATGAATCATGGGACAATGTATTTGACAGCAATAATATTGATTCTAAATTTAATTGCTTTCTGAACACATACTTGAGGATCTTTTATTCAAGCTTTCCCTTAAAAATAGTCAAAAATGAAAATAAAAACAAATCCACCTGGATAACAATTGGAATAAAAACTTCATGTAAACACAAAAGACAACTATATTTGGCCAGTAGGGACAGTAATGATCCAAGACTAAAAAGTCACTACAAAATGTACTGTAAAATTTTGTCAAAAGTCATTAAAGAAGCCAAACAGAATAACTATAACAGCCAAATTCTAAAATCAAACAATAAAATTAAAACCACCTGGGATATTGTGAAAGTTGAATCAGGAAAGAAATCTGTTAATGAAGACGTACAAAGTTTGAATATTGAAGGGAAGTCCACTAACAATCCACAAGCTATCGCAAGTGCATTTAATGAATATTTCCTTTCATTAGCTGAGAAAACATATTCCAATAACAACAATACTAATAATAATAATAATAATAATAATAATAATAATAATAATAATAATAATCCAATATACTATCTGTCTCGTGCCTTTAACAATTCATTTCCAAATATCAATCTCAAATTCTCAACAAGGAAGGAAATTGAAAACATTATTAAATCCCTTAAGCCCAAAAATTCACATGGATATGATGAAATCTCTACCAAATTACTTAAAGCAAGCTCTGTTTACATCAGTTCACCCTTGAATCATCTATGTAATAAATCTTTATCATCAGGTACTTTTCCTCAACGCTTAAAATACGCTGTAATGAAACCACTTTTTAAAAAAGGAGAGAGAAAATGCATCTCTAATTACAGACCAATATCCATATTGACTTCATTCTCAAAAGTCTTTGAAAAAGTTATGTATAATAGACTACTTGAACACTTAAATTCTAACAACATATTAGTCAAAGAGCAATTTGGATTTAGGAAAGACCTAACAACAGAAAAAGCAACCTATGAACTAACTAACGATATTTTAAGTGCTCTCAATGACAGATTAATTGTGGGAGGGATTTTCTGTGATCTAGCAAAAGCTTTCGATTGTGTTAATCATGATATCTTACTATCGAAATTAAATTTCTATGGAATAACTGGCAAAGCTAATGAATGGATCAAATCATACCTCAAAAACAGGTATCAAAGAGTTGAAATAAATAATAAAAACTCCAGTCATAATGCATTTTCAAACTGGGGAATTATAAAGCACGGTGTTCCACAAGGATCAATTTTAGGTCCCTTACTTTTTCTTCTCTACATAAATGATCTATCTAAAACCATCAACAATAAATCTAAACCAATTCTATATGCAGATGACACTAGTATAATATTTAAGAACTCTAAATTTGACAACTTTAAAAATGACATAAATATTGTATTTGAAGCCTTAAACAGATGGTTCGAAGCCAATTTACTCTCATTAAATTTTGATAAAACCCATTACATATCATTCACAACTAAAAACAACCACCAAATTGATCTGGACATCAGTTATGCCAACAAATTAATCTGTAAAGTACTTGATACAAAATTCCTTGGAATACATGTAGACAGTACACTGTCTTGGAAAATACATATTGAACAAATTATACCTAAATTAAATGCAGCTTGCTATGCGATGAGATCAATTAAGCCTTTTATGTCACAGGAAACATTGAAGATGGTTTACCATGCCTACTTTCATTCTATTATGAACTATGGATTAATATTTTGGGGGAACTCTTCACATAGTGTAATAATTTTTAAAATACAAAAGAATATAATTAGAATCATTACAGGATGTAGAAGTAGAGATTCATGTAGAGAATTATTTAAGAAATTAAAAATTCTACCTCTTCAATCGCAATACATATTATCGCTTCTCTTATTTGTTGTTTACAACAAAGATAAATTCAAATTAAATTCTGATGTCTATAACATGAATACTAGACAAAAATATAACTTCCACCTACCCTCATCAACTTTATCAGTATATCAAAAAGGAGTCTACTTTACTGGCATAAAAGTGTTCAACAATCTGCCACAAAGTATTAAAAACTTGGGCAATGATACTAAAAAGTTTAAATCAGAGTTAAAGAATTATCTACATGCTCATTCCTTCTACTCTTTAGATGAATACTTCAATGTAAATAGAGAATGATGTAAAATTAAGTTATATTAATTTTTAAGCTAAAATTGCCTGTACTTATGTATGTAACCATTTGACTTGTTCTGTATCCACAGGTACTAACCTGCTTAGGATTTATAGAATGTAAATAAATTAAATTCAATTCAATTCTGCCAGATTGCATCTGGTTTTTACATTTTTTAATTTCATGATAATTGTTTTTTTTTACAGAGCAAGGTCGCCAGCCTTGCATACAACCCCCAAACCTGGAGGGCCAGATCTCTTTTCCTCATTTTCAACTTAACCATAACAGTGTCCTTTTAAATAGCTTCTTAGTCTGAAAAATAGGAAGAAGTTGTTTGGAGCTAAGTCAGGAGAATGTGGGCTTTACCTGACTGAGTGGTGTCCGACTAGGCCAGCAGCTCTTTTATTTTTAAAGTACTATGCACTGAGGCATATCATGATGTGGACATGTCATTCACATTGTTCATCATCTGTCTTATCATAACCTTCTTTGCACCTCAAATATGGTTCAGAAGATTGTGTTCTTAACATAACTTCATCATCATTGACAACTTTCAACATCTGATGTGATTGTATGTGAGTTTTACCTAGTCCAAGACAAAATTTGAGATTAACTCTTTCTTAATTACCCAATTCATGGCCACGCCATAACTCAAGCCATTTATTTTTTATTACTAGTGGGGTGGGACTAAGTCCCTTGTACTGCTGCCACTTCTGGCCTATGGTACCAGCCCCAGATGATAGGTGGTGGTGATTGTGGAGCAGTTGGTGGAATGAAGATTGGCAGGGGAAACCAAAGTACTTGGAGAAAACCTGTCCCAGCGCCACTTTGTCCACCATAAATCCCACTTGACCAGACCCGGAATCAAACCCGGGCCACCGCAGTGGGAAGCCAGTGACTAACCACTTGAGCTATGGCATGGTCTACAAGGGACTTAGTCCCACCCCACTAGAAATTAAAAGAAAATAATAATTACCCAATTCTACAATGAAAATATAAACAGGATATAACAAAATTAGCCACTGAGCAAAATGGACCACAAGCACAGGTGCAACCATACAGTGTAAAATTATGAATTAAGGAAATGTTTTCATAACTTCTGATTTTCTGCATTGCCAAAAACAATAAAAGAAAATAAATCTTGAGAAATTTCAATTCACATATCGTATATATGTAAGTTTGTCATGATATGAAATGTAGGTTACATAATGTTATATAAATCATATTATTATGTCTGTCTGTGAAGTGTATAGGAAATATGCAGATTTTTTATTAATAATTACTGTTTTGTTACTGTACTTGCTGGCTGCGCCATAGCTCAAGAGGTTAGTCACTGGCTTCCCACCGCGGCACCCCGGGTTCGATCCCGGGTCTGGTCAAGTGGGATTTGTGGTCGACAAAGTGGCGCTGGGGCAGGTTTTCTCCGAGTACTTCAGTTTCCTCCTGCCAATCTTCATTCCACCAATTGCTCCACAATCACCCTCACCTATCATCTGGGGCTGGTACAATAAGCCAGAAGTGACCGCAGTATAAATGACTTAGTCCCACCCCACTAGCAATAAAAAAATAATACTGTACTTGCTCCAGTCTGCCATGAAAGTGGATGAATGAAACAAATTTTTAACCACATTACCTTAAGATCACTACACTGGTTCATATGTAGCAGAAGAATTAAGATAGTTGTTAATGAGTTATGTTTTGAATTTCTTTGTTGTTTGATGTGTTGACAGCCACACATAAGTCAACTGTTAAACCATTAACCAGTAACCTCATTATTATCATCTCCTCCTTCTCCTCTTCCTCTTTCTGCATCACCCCCCCACCACTACCACCACAACAACAATGATGATGACAATAACAGAAGTAATGTTAGTACTAATAGTGCTAACTGTTGTCATATGTTTCTAGATGCCAACTCTGTGGCGCAGGTTTTGATCGTAAACCAAAACTTGAAGATCATCTTGCATTAAGCCATAACAAGATCAGTGATTCTGATGATAGCCGTAAATGGGTTGGCCATCTCATTACCAATGAACTGAATCAGCAACCACCATCTTCATCAAATTCTTCAATGAGCACTGGTCAGCTGTCTCTCCATCAGCCACATCCACCCCTACCAACTGATGTCTCTCGACGAAGAGGCACCAGTGATGGACACCTTCTCCTTCAGTCACACCTCCATGGTTCAGAAAGTGACAGCAAACCACTTGGCAACACTGCTCCTCACCATCATCCATTGACTGCTTTAAGAGCAGAAACCAATCAACATCAACAGAGCTGGCATCATATGATCTTTGGAGGGAAGGTCATGGATAGTGATATGATTGAGACTTCTGGAATGGAAAGTAATACTGCAAAAATGGTCCCCATTTCAGCAGTTTTGGAAAATCAGCATCGTCTCTTGTCAGATATGACTACTTTGGGAGGTGGGCTTGGCCCAGGACAGAGTGCGGGTAGAAACCTTCTGCCTTCATGTTTAACCGGAGGTCACTCATCACTCCCCCAACCTGGTAATCAACCCACACATCACATTCCAAATATACCAAACCCTCATTCATCCCTGACACCACGTGTTAATATGTTCCCTTCTGACAATAACTAAGAACAATTGAAAGTAGAGTAGCTTCTTACAAAATGGCAGCAGATCCAGCACAAGGTCTGTATATCAATTTGCACTTTTTATGCATTTATAACATTATACAGCCTCATAAAATTGTCTCCTTCTCAAGTTAAAGAGTTTCACTTGCTTTAATAATGGGTTGTCTATTTTTCAGTGAAGTTTTGTTGGTGGGAAATTAGAGATAATAACAGTTACTAGTGACTGATGTTAATGGATTGTACATAAATGAGATTTAGAGAGAATTTTATTACAGCTTATTTTTATGTACTATTCTGGCAGTTGCCTATAGAAACAAAAGAAAGCCATAATGAAATTTATTACTGCTAGTCTTCGGATAACTTAAACCTGTTCCTGAAAACTAATACACAGTAGTTTGCAGTTAAGTTACATGCATGTAGCATATTATTGTGGCACTCTATTTATTTTCTGGACACAATATAAAATTCTAAAAATTGTTAAGTTTCAATGACTTCCTCTCTCTCTCTCCCTCTCTCTGCTCACATGTAACCCTATGAATAAAGATTAGCTGTGTCTAGTGAGCCCTATAGAATATGCTACTCTTTGTTTATGTTATAATGCAGAATGTATTGAGTCATTATACTGGTCCGTGCTTGAGCTTGCCACATACAGACCTATCCAGCTCAGAGAACATGTTTTGTTGAAGTTGGTCTAATGTCTGTTGAGAACACTAGAATGATGAAACATGATCAAAGAAAGTTATATCATAATGCTCAGAACATCAAAATTAATGTTCATTGTGCAAAAAGTTATGTAAAAAGAGCAAAGTAATATATTGTCACGTGTTGGGTGTATAACGCGACAAATAACTTCACGCCTTATCTGATATAACGAATTATTGCACATTCGCGCCTACAATTACACAGTTTACAATCTCAACATTACTGCCATCGGCAGTATCACAAATACTAGACTGCAAATGCTGGTTGACTTCCTGGCTAACTCGTGACTAACTCGTAACTTGAGTACTTTCGAACTAACTGTGAATAGTCTTCGCTGCTCCTTATTTAGCCTCGTTCCAGACAACACAGAAAACAGCCACGTAATAGGCACCACTGTTGTCTGCCGCCGTGTTTGCCTGTTATGTAATGGGTACCGTTGTTATTACCATCGTCTCTCGCAACCACTGTTTACCCACTTTGCTTAGCAACCACTGTTTACTCGCGTTGCATAGCGACCACTGTGCTGGGACTCAGCTCACTTCGGCTCCGCTCAGCATGTCACAGCTGGAGGGGAGGGAGGGGCATCATCCATAGCGCAACACGTCACAATATATTATTTCTCTTAAGGGATGTACTACAGCAGCACATTTTAAATCTGACTAGAAGTTTCCATTCTTGCTGCCCCTACCTAATATGTCCTTTATTTTGGTTAGTAGTATTGTTACTATCTAGAGTAATGCTTATACATTCATGAATACCACAGTTATTCAATATAAATGATACTGTGTACAGAAGTTAGCAGTCCTCTTACTTTGGAGTCTTGTTTGATTACCAAATTATACATAGAAATTTTGTATTTCTTTATGCTTTGCAGGGGTAGAAATATGAAAATATGAAAATAAGGATGGATCCATAAAGGGGCTGGATACATTTTATGGCTCAGTTTGAAGTGTGTCTGTGGGAAGAAAATCAATTCTTGAGTACCCACTTTCAAATTGAAAACCAGTACTTTCACTTTTGTTCAGGTGAAGTATTATCTATAACCTTTCACAAGGATTTCCAAAATTTTAATGCTGTTAGACATTTCAGGAATTTGAGGTCAAAAGTTACGATATGGAGTAATCTTACCTGCTTCCCCAGTTACAATGTAAGGGAAAAAGTATATCATCTCATAACCTCCAATTTCCACGCTTTGTCTTATTTATTTAGTTCATTGTTATGGTATGACATCATGGAGCATAATTAGTTTTTCCTGTAAACCCATATTTAAAAGTATTAGTTAATTCTTGATTGTTTCATCTTGAAGTTTCTTTGTACATTCTCATGTCCTGGAATTGTATGGCATAACTCATATCTTACAATGATAATGAAGCCTGGCACACACATAAGTGAAGATGAAACTTATTTTTAATTGACACAAAGTAACAGCAAGGGCATAGTAAGCAATGAACTTCATCCAGGAGAGTCCCTCTTAAGAAGCTAGTAGTCATTCAGTTAAAAGAAGAACTATTTCATACTATAGCTATCTTTGGTATCTCTTCACATCTTTTTACTAAAATAATATTGATCCAATGAATATACAAAAATTAGGCCATATATATTGTTTTTATATAGTATTTTATAAGATACATATGCTTTTGACAATTTAATTTGAGACCATAATGTGCTGTAAGTATTAAACAAGTGTAAATGAATGATTTTATTTGTTTTGAGTAGCTGGGAAAATATCTGTTTTAAGGTATCTTCATAGTGTGCATCCTGTTGTGTGTTCCAAACATATATATATAGTAGTAATATTAAACTCTCACTATGACAAATGTATAAAGTAAGTAAAAAAAAGTAAAGTTATCCCTGTAACAGGCCGTGAAGGCCCATGGGTTGTGAGACGTCGAGTCCCTCACATTATCTAGACAATCGGCTCAAAGATGGCGGTAAGGTTGCCAGCTTTCCGCGCCAGCTGCACTTTACTCCCCAGGAAAATTATTTAATTAATTCCTGGCACTCATTTCTGTTAGAGGCTGAGTTGACCCAAGGGCCATAGTGCAGCTGGAAGGATTAGGTTAATTCAAAAAATCCAATGACCTCATCGGCACTTGAACCTGCAACCTTCCGGCTTGTAGCATAGTACCTCAACCACTACGCTACCGCACTTGCCTTTAATGTTTACAATTAAACCTTTATTTTGCTACATGTTTCAGTCACATGGGACCATCATCAGGCAGTTAATATGAACTATGTCTAGTCATTGAATTACTAATATGGATCCATACTAGTGCAATGTGTTGTATTATATGATAACAGAAATTTTGCTTCAAGTCCATAATAAGTATTACAATTAANAGTAGTCATTCAGTTAAAAGAAGAACTATTTCATACTATAGCTATCTTTGGTATCTCTTCACATCTTTTTACTAAAATAATATTGATCCAATGAATATACAAAAATTAGGCCATATATATTGTTTTTATATAGTATTTTATAAGATACATATGCTTTTGACAATTTAATTTGAGACCATAATGTGCTGTAAGTATTAAACAAGTGTAAATGAATGATTTTATTTGTTTTGAGTAGCTGGGAAAATATCTGTTTTAAGGTATCTTCATAGTGTGCATCCTGTTGTGTGTTCCAAACATATATATATAGTAGTAATATTAAACTCTCACTATGACAAATGTATAAAGTAAGTAAAAAAAAGTAAAGTTATCCCTGTAACAGGCCGTGAAGGCCCATGGGTTGTGAGACGTCGAGTCCCTCACATTATCTAGACAATCGGCTCAAAGATGGCGGTAAGGTTGCCAGCTTTCCGCGCCAGCTGCACTTTACTCCCCAGGAAAATTATTTAATTAATTCCTGGCACTCATTTCTGTTAGAGGCTGAGTTGACCCAAGGGCCATAGTGCAGCTGGAAGGATTAGGTTAATTCAAAAAATCCAATGACCTCATCGGCACTTGAACCTGCAACCTTCCGGCTTGTAGCATAGTACCTCAACCACTACGCTACTGCACTTGCCTTTAATGTTTACAATTAAACCTTTATTTTGCTACATGTTTCAGTCACATGGGACCATCATCAGGCAGTTAATATGAACTATGTCTAGTCATTGAATTACTAATATGGATCCATACTAGTGCAATGTGTTGTATTATATGATAACAGAAATTTTGCTTCAAGTCCATAATAAGTATTACAATTAAGTATATAAAATAATAAAAAATATATATATGTATATATACTACACTGTGCATTGGTTTGATGTAGACTGATTCTACATCATTTTATAGTCACATAATAACACAATCCATATCGGGAAATACGTGTACCCAAAACATCGCACATTCATAACAACCTATATATCATACTTATTTTTAGACTGACACCCCTGAGCTTTACAACCTGGTCTTACTATGTGGATGCATCTAACAACAAGGATCCACAAATTAGATAATATGTCTAATACTACACNTGTATTATATGATAACAGAAATTTTGCTTCAAGTCCATAATAAGTATTACAATTAACGCTTATCCTACGGGCATTTAAATTCCGGTAAAGGCAGCCGCACGGAATCTATTTAAATACCCGCGATTAGAAATCCGTAAAAACTGTAGTGACTTACTAAATTTGCTCCTATTTCTGCAATTTCTGTGATAAACGAACGAAATAAACGCTGTTTTTTTCTCGAAAGACTATAGAATCAGATATTGTAAATTACAGATTGTATGAAACATGTTAACATTTTTGCACTGACTCCAAAGAATAAATTTCCCAGTTTCTTGTTTCTGTGCAAGAATCCATACGTTATGGATACCCCTGAATGCAAGTTGCCTGANCATATTCCACAGTAATTGCCTGATGATGGTCCCATGTGAACGGAACATGTAGCAAAATAAAGGTTTAATTGTGAACATTAAAAGCAAGTATACATTTGTTGTGGTGACAGTTTAACATAACTACAGTTATAACTGCAATTGCACCTTCAGTGTTATAGTGGATAAAGACAAAAATATTAATATAAAAAGTGCAGAGAGAAGAAAGAAAGAGATTGTATATGCATGTATGTGGCAGATGGACATGCAGTAAAATTTTATTAATCCAAAAAACTCTGCTTTCTTCAGTCTCCAAAGTTAGGCTTTCCTAGGGCATCTTTTTCAGTGATTAATAATAGTTTGTATGCTATTTTCATCCTTAACATTTTAGTACAAGATTTGAATTTCTTTCTTATACACTTTTGACGTGGGGCATGTGGTAGCATAGTTGGTTGAGGCACTATGCTACAAGCCGGAAGGTCACAGGTTTAAGTCCCGATGAGGTCATTGGATTCTTTTTAGTTGACCTAATCCTTCCAGCAGCACTATGGCCCTGGGATCGACTCAGCCTCTAACAGAAATGAGTACCAGGAATGTTCTTGGGTGTAATGGGTGGCCGGCATGTAAGGCAAACAACCTTGCCGCCATCTATGAGCCAATTGTCTAGAAAATGTGGGAACCTCAACATGTCACAACCCTGTGGGCCTCCACGGCTTGTTACAGGGATACCTTTGCTTTTTACTTACAGTTTTGATGCATTTTCCTTCCCAGACATATTAAATAGAATTGTTGCCCAAAACATTTCAGTTCAACCAGAAACGTAATGTGACTAGAAGCAGTACTGCCAATCTGGCTTTATTTTCTTGTGAGTGTCCAATATTTGAAACCAGTATTGCATAGTATTACATATATTATTATGTAAAGTGTATTGAAGACAGTTGGTATTACTGATGAAAATATTCAGAAGTGCACATTGTAATATGCAGATGTATCGATCTGCCTCATAAAAAATTTAGAAATGCATTGCCTTGTACTGAAGGAAAATTAGAACCCCCCCTCCCCGTTTCTGATTTCAGCATTAGTATTCATTGTAGAATTGCACACCAAGCAAGAAGAAAATTCTACTTGGCTCAGTATTATCATAACTCAATTTGTATTATAAGGTAAGAAAATGGGACTAAGTAAATTTAAAGTGATGTGGACTTTGCATGGCTACTTTTATTATGAAAATCCTGTATGGTAGGGAGCAGGCAATGCCAGTAAAATAGTATAATACTATGTATATACTTCCTTTAGTTAGAGAACACATCATATTCAGAAGCATCACCATTTGAGAAAATTCAATGTTTATGATAGGAATGTGCAATAAATATAATATGTGTATCATAGCCATATAAACTTCTAAAGTTGGGAAAACAAACTCCACTACTAGTATACTAGTGAAGGATCCTAAAATTTATGTGGTAATGAGATGGCAAGCAGTATGAAACTTGTGTTTGGGAAACTTGTTGTACAGTGTAAAAGAATATGGTAGCCACACACAGTTTTCATTTAGCTTTTTGTTTGATAGCAATAACTCATGAACTATTGAAGCTGGGCATGTGAAATTTTAGGTAAGGAGATGGATCATGAGTACACCTGCAAATTTATATATGAAACATATTTTATGTCTGTTGCAAATACGGAAGCACTGTAAAACT